CTTTCAAGGCCGCCAGGCCTCAAATCCTAGTTCGGCGAACTAGGCCCAAAAACGATTTGGCCAGGAAAGAACCAGTCAGGTTGGGTGTGAAAGGGAAAACAACCAAACCATCACTACTTCAAGTTCCAAGGATCTTTTCCGTCCACAAGATCTGGCTGAATGGTCCGTCTCTGAGAGGCTTTGGGGCTAGGGAACACGCTTGGCCGAACGCGGTCCGTAGGTGTTGTTGGGCACTCATCATGGCTGGAGGGCCGCTTCATGGGGGGCACAACTAAAAGAACTTCAAAACTTCCCGACCTCGAAATTGGGCAGTGTTTTTTAGTGGTGTGGAGAGTGAGCAGGTGAGGCATGACTTTTTATTTTTTTGCAAACTCGAGCCCGAAAACTCAAGCAAAACTCCAACTGACTGACATCCTCTTCCCCATGCAAATCCAGTCCTAGATCCAGTGCCCACGCCCGCCCGCGCCTCCAAAATCTCTGCCAGGACTGTGAAGTCGATGAAGTGTGTGTGTGTGTGTGTGTTTTGCGTGTGTGTGTGTGTGTGATGTTAGTATGACCATATACCTTAATTTCAGCTTGCTCGTTAATTTCAGGTGACGTCGGTGACGTCGTTTTATATTGCCTAGATACATAGAGTTAGAGGGTGTCTCTGGGTATTTTTTCCGGATGGGGCTACAGTAGGCATACAAAACAAAATGCTTGGAGATGGATTTCGGTGCCCTCTGGTGCAGGTTCGCACTTCAACTGGAATCAAGTGATCTGAGGTTCTCAAACATCTTCAAACACCCTGTCACTCGATGCCTCTTGCCATACGACACTGCGATCTTGATGTACTGGGAGCCTTCCTGAGCATCTCCACCTTGGGAGCAGAGCGCGGAGCGGAGGGCAGCAGAGCGTTCAGATCAGCATCTCCAGCGCTCGAACAAACATTTTTGGTGTGGGTCAAAACCCCGCAACATTCCGTAACCTTCTTTGACCACCGAAAATGCACTGAGTCCTCTTTTTGAGGGATATCGACCCTGGTTGAAAGATGTTGAAAGGGTACTGCTTTTGACCCACAGCTATTTGACATGCCATCACCTTTGTTCAGCTCTTGACTCTTTAAAAAGCAGAACATTGGAGATTGGGCATGGTTGGGGCGGTGTCTTCCGGAGGACTGGAGAGGACTGGACCCCATGAACGGTTGCTGAAACAGCTGTTCGGTAAGCTTCCCTTCCAAACTCGAGGTCAAAGCTGGAGCACCACCCTTAGACTTGGCACTGCCCTTCCCGCTTCACTGGGCACGGACTCAGTGTCACAAGACCAACCTTCGGCTCTGAAAACATCCGTGGACGGTTGGTTCTTGGGTACGAAGGAGGAGCAATGGCTCACCGCTGTTTCTTTACGGTGTGGTGCCAAGAGGCCAAAATGTAAAGGTGCCTGCACAAAAGTCCTCGTTTCCCGAAAGTCCACGGAGGCCAACTGATTTCCAGTCCTTGGTCATCGTGTGGATCGTCGGCATGCTTGCAGCTGAAGTGCTGAACGAATTCCCATGCCCCTCACAAGTATACACCTTCTTCTGGCAAAAGGCTTTCTGAATGGAACCCATGAAGAAGAATTTAGCTGATGATATATCGCAACCAGTTCTAGTCAACGTCCAGTCATTTTTCCATCACCTGTCCACACAGTGAGAAATCTTCCGAAGAGACGTTGCGGCGGACTGCTATAATGTACAGATTCTGGGAAGCATGTAAACAAGTCTGGCAATCTGTTACCATTTCTTCAGCCGTGTCGTTATCTCCATCGAATAAAGCTGTATTGAATACATCCAGCCATGCAACACTCAAATACACCTAAGATGTTGACCAACAAGAACATCCTCACCTTTTTCCTGTTACACCCAGTAGTCTCAACCTCTCTCCCACATCGAAACTCCGACCTTGCGACAGAATGCGACGCCAAGTGTCAACATCTCTGACTGGAAGAGCCCGATCTTCCTCAGCTCTTTGCCTCGGTGCGCGGGCTCCGCGGCTTCTTTTGCGGAGCAGGAGCCGGCAGGAACGATCCGTTCAATGATGTTCAATGCGGGCATCGAACGAGAAATCCACCTGCTCTTGAACTGATAGTGTGCTTATTGCTGCCGTTTTTTAAAAGCAAAGCGATTGCCTTTGAATCACGAGCTTTGACAAATGATCTGCCGTTGCAGCCACGAGGCCCCCATCGGTCAACACGGTCACCACCACGTCTTTCATATCCTTGGATTGAGCAAAATACACATGATAACACATTGCTAAAGCATGCTTACAAGTCGTGAAGCGGTGTGAAGGAATATCACACAAGGATGCCCTATAGAGGTTGACAGCCTGGGAGGCACCAGGGAGGCACCAGGGAGGCAGGAAAGGACTAATTGGACAGCCTGGGAGGCACCAGGGAGCCCAATAGTCTTTCGACTTCATACGTTTGATGCAGCTTAAAACAGTACACAACTGCTGCAAAGCAAAGCAAGTCTCTGGTGTTCTTGGTGCCGGAAGATCTTTGGCAGCATGCAGCTCCAGCATGCAGCTGACGGCATGTTGCACGTCTTCGGCATCTACATTGCTCGCCGTGAACCTTAGAGTCTTAGAGAACTGCCAATCCCCTTAAACATCAAAGCCATAAACACACATTCCGTATCATTCCGTCACATTCCGTCACATCAGAATATTCATTCGAGGATCAACACCCCTCACCTCCACCACCTCCACCACCACCAACCACAAAGTGCTTCCTTTTCACAGAAGAAACATGAAGAAACATCTATGGAACCAACACACGACCCGCGAGCAGTGCCCGCTGCGGCCTTGCGGAGAACACCAGCAAACCTGCCCGGTGTTCTCCGTGTGTGCACCACGGGTGAGTCGTCGGTGAGTCGTCGGTACTGCAGCTGAAGAGCTTCTGCAACTGCATCATCCCCATGCCAGAGGTATAGAGTGGTGCCGCCGTCTCCTGAGTGCGCAAAACAACGCAAGCCAGTCAACTGCTAGGAAGGCGTTCTCTGCCTTCTGTCATTGAACGTGACAAACAGCGAGGCAATACCAAACATGAATCTGTACATCCCCACATCTTCCTTCGGCAATTGCATTGTGTGCCGAAATCACCAGCATCTTTCGAAACTACTGTCCTCACCAATTCAACTGAAATGAATTGAACTGAAATGATCTCATCGGCTTGCTTTTTCACCAAGTGGCTGCAGGCTCATCCTCGACAACGCATAGCTCAATGCCACAAATGACTTGATTGTCGTAGGTCACCTTAGCACACAATCACACACAATCACCAACTCCACATGAACTGACAGCTGCGTCGTGTTACCTACAAACTGGGATGTTCTGTGGTTCTCTTGCTCTTCTATGATCTTCTACATGCTGCACATGTCTTGCTTTCACTATTATATATATAGTTATGTATAATATCTATTAATATCTTAATTACTCCCCCCGGTTCCAACTCGGCCGCTCTCTCCGAACCCCGCTCCCCGCCTCGTAGGGCCAAGGCTTGTTCGATCGAAGGTCCAAGCGGTTGATTTGACAGGTGCCGATGGTGTTGCCCATCATTCCCGTGAACTCCACCTGCGGATCCGATCGAACACACCAGGCCAGCGAACGCGAGCGAAAGGGATGGACGGACGTCCAAGCGGATCCGAAGGCGGTGCCATGTGGCATCATGTGGCCAGGTGAGGTGGATGGGTGACCAGCAGCTGGCCAAACGTTTTGAAGACTTGAAGACATTAAGGCACTTTTGAGGAGTGCCGACCCAAGCACTTCAAACGGTCCTGGATATTAACATATACTAACAGTAGTGGCACCTTCAGTCTCCGGCAAAAAACATGCACTTTTTGAAGGGCTGCGGCTGTAACAACTAATTAGAATTATTAGATACAACTCGCATGTAATTACACATTTTTTATATATTATAATGTGTATTAAAATACTTTGAAAGCATTGCATTGAAGCCAAGCTTAAACCAACGAGTCACCCATCCCATCCCCAGAGCCCCAACAAACAGCGCATGTCCTGCCTGGACCTGGATGGTTTTGGACAACGTCTTGGCATGCAGAGTCCCCAAGTCATCGGGGATAGCAAAAGTTTGTGCCGTTAAGCCTTTCAGCTGATGATCCTCAAGTCCTTGAATCTCTTCACTTCGTGCAAGCTCCTTCCTCTTGTGATCCAGAACGCGAAGCTGATAAGTCTTGGCCTCTTTCCCAAACATGCTGTTCTCAACAGGCACATCCAAGAGCTTTGACACCACCACCGTGCAGTAGACCCCCAGCTCATTCTCCCCCGCAGACCGTTGGCTTGCCATTGGTGCCAAGGTGTCCACTGGAGGAGCAAAGCCTGACGACATCCCTGAAGAACGGAAGGCCGCCGGACAGCCCGCAGAACTGGACATCGGCCCGGCCGGCCCGGCTGGCCCGGCGGAGGACATCCGCATGGAACCGTGCATCATTGAAGGACCGCCCCCCCCCAGTGTGTGGGGGGACGATGGTGCCCGGGACGGCCTCGTCGACCACGGTTCGGAAGCTCTGGTTCCGTGAGCCCACCGTGTTGAAACTGCTGTTGTGGGTGGCAAAAGGCCCGGCTGGCCCGGCGGTGGGAGGTAAAACGGGACCTCCAGGGCCCAGTCCAGAGCCAAAGCCCATCTGATTGGAATGGATAACGGTTTTGAAAGGCGAATCACTTTTGCCTGATTGCATCGCACCGATGGAATGGCCTAGCCAAGAGGTGCTAGGTCAGGAAACGACATGTGAAATTCGAGCTCTGAGCCAAATGCGGAAAAAACGAAACAGCTGGGAATTGCATGCGAGTGTGTTGTTTGGAGTATAGATCGTGAGTGGTGCAAGAGCACTACTTCAATGACGGAATGCCGGACAACAGAGCCATTGTCACTTGCCAAACTAACATTTTAAACGCTTTGCATCCAAGCATCGGCACGTGGAGGCGCAAGTCAATGATAAGTGTTTCTTTCGCATCAGTTCTCTCTGTGCTGCTCTAACTGGGCGCCCTGGCTCAGTAAGTGAGGGACACGGGCACATTGATGCGTGCGCAACTAGGCAGCGCTGTACCTCACAAATGTAGCACTACAGCTCTTGCTGCTCGACATGAACAAAATCGGACCTGCAATGCAACGCGTCCATGTTTGCAATTATCATGATCAGCGTCCGGGTTGTTGAAAAGTCAACCCGGCATCATGTCGCATCCAAAAAAAACGATACGCGTTTCAGGGAGAACAAGCCCATACACTGAAGAAACGAAAGGTTTCCTTGTCTTGCGAAGATGTTGCACACCTCCGTGATGAAGCTCTGAAGGACTTGCCAGGAGTCATCGATGCGCACCCGTAGCGGCATCAAAGAAGCAGTACACCTAGCAAATGGACTCCAATGTGTTCTCAGAACAGGGACATTTGCCAATGTGCGGTTCTTTCTTTCAATCTTCTTTGCTGCTGCGGTGTTACTCCTGGTGGAGGTTTGTTGTTGGCTTTGCTGCTCATCCGTCGAACCGCACTCGTGCAAACTAAGACTCTGTGTACAAATCAGCCTGCGTTGTTTGTCACTGTGGATGCATGCGCATGGAGGCCATATGTATAGTGAAGCGAATGAACCCTCCTTCCAGAACTACATCGATGATGGTATTGACTTCATCTCATGTAGCAGCCTGCCTCATCTTCAGGTGTTGTGAATCATAGTCAGTGTCCGCTGGTGAAACGAACCCCATGCATCTCCATGCAGCTCAGGCTGAAAAAAAACACAGAATGCTTAGAGCTGAGAGTCAACGCCACAGGCGTTGTGATGTCACCACATCACGAGATCACGATCCAACGCTTGCCAGCGCGACCCCAGAAGATCACTTGGCACCGCCTTGCGAGCGGCTGACGGGGTCCGCAAGGATGAGACGTTGAGGCTGCAAGTCATGTCGATCATGTTATCACAGCAAGAGTACCGCATTGAACCCACCAAAATTCCGTGTCCTTTCAAGAGTACTCGTTCTCCATCCATCAGCCTCCATCTTGAGTGATATGCATTGACATAAATACTATATATAGTATAGTGATTCTGATATTAAAACACAGTTTTAGCAACAGTTCATTTGAAGCGACAAATTGGGGTGACCCCCAATCCTTCACAATCCCTATCTTCACCTCCGCTCACCGTGGCCGAAGGCCGAACCGCCCGGCCTCGCGGCCCGAGAAGACGGCGCCGAAGAGAAGGTCCCGGTGCCCCGTCGCCCGCGACCAGACCTGGCCGGGGCACCGGGAGGGTGCCGAAGACGCTGGTGGCGGCGCGGACGGCCCTGGCGGTGAGGGGATGAAGGGTGCTTTAGGACGCCTTCTGCTTCTGTTCGTTTTGAAAGAATAGAACATGAATAGAAGTCAATCACTCTATAATCCATCTCCTTTTCACAGTGTCTGTTTTGGGCTGAACAAGGTGGTTTTGCATCGGTGCCGCTGGGGCGTTGGATGCCAGAGTGGAAACAGAATGAAACATGCCAAAGAGGCCAAGGACCAGCTGGCAAGTACCAGGGCCTTAGAGTCTATCAGTCTGTTTCGGCCAACGGCATCGAGACCTATGGCATCTTAACAGCAAGAGCAGCACCGTCAAATAATCTTCAACCATGCCAGGTGTCATCTGACCAATGGTTTTCGAGTCATTCAAGGGATGGTTTGTGTGTATCGAGTCATGTGCGCTTCAGGTATTCCAAGGTATTTGTTGTGGAATTATTCCAAGGAAAAACAATAACAAATGAACTTGATGAGAGCAACCAAAGCTTGATGAGAGCTTTCGAGTGTGTTTCCTTGCAAAGTAGACTTCAGTCCCCTCTGGGACCCTGGTGTCCTTGTTCGCACCTGGTCAGGGCCGACATCGGCGACCTCCAAGGCCCAAGCGGCTGGGGTCACCTGCCACGCCTCCGGGGAACGGCGCGAGCTTCACCAAGAAGCATCCAACGTAAACTTCCGGATCGAATGGAACTACTGTTTGGGGAAGAAAACACACAAAGAAATAGAAAGGAAACAGAAAGCAACTTCCAGAAGTCCATCAAGAGCTGCACCACACTGAAAGTGGTCTTTGCCAATCTGCCATATCTGCCATCTTCCATGGAAAAGCTGATGCGTTGGGTCAAACCGAGACACTGCGGCGCGCTTCTGGATGATCTCCCAGGAATTCTGCAGCCTTCCGTTTCGTTGGGGTGCCAAGTTCGGTCTGAGTGTTTTTGCTTGGGCAGTTTAGGCGACCCGTGCTTGGGCACACATAGAACACTAGAGTCACTGACAGGAGAACTACTAGGAAGGACCCACCAAGTTGGGACCTACTGTTGATGGACAAAATCCTGCATCACTTTGCGCACAGTTTTCTTGCTGCCCTCGTTCTCCCTCGTTAACAATGGGGCCACCACAGTAAGAAAGTTAAAACAAGTTGAAAGTCCAAAATCCTGCACCACCTCCTCAGAGGGGTCGCGCCATAAGGGGCGGGGGGTTGCTGTGCGACCCTTCCAAGGTAAAGTGGTGAGGTGGTGCAGGATTTCGTCCATCAACAGTATGGAGCAGGTTGACACTCTATTTAAAAAGTAAAAAACATGTTTGCGATTTGCGATGTTGACAAATCAAAATCAAATCTATGCCAAACACATGCCAAAACGTATCCACTGTGAGAGTGCCGCCGTCTTTGGTTTCTGGAATCCGGAACTGCTCTCTGGTTGACACTGCCACGGTGGAAAGCAGTGCCTTCGCCGTTCGGAGGAGTGATGGCCGCGCTTCTGCAAAGCACCATCCATCACAGGACACCTGCCAATGTATCACAAACTCATGCACCTTGAGTGGAGTCAAGGGCATGGCATGTAAAGGTAGTTCCATACTTATGTTGAATCCTTGTTGTGATTGACAGTTTCTATGCTCGTTTAAGTAAGCGCTGCAATCAATGTGCGGTGCATCGCCCCTGAGTATACGTGGCATCCTTCTCAGCGCTTGGCCTGAAGCCATGCAGTGTTTCACGCCACCAGGCAGCGCCATCCCCCTCTCGCACAGGGGGATCAGAGCGCGGCAAGACCTTCTATGAAGTGAGTGCTTTCTTCAGGGCTGAGCCACCCGAAGATTGCTTTGTCAATGGAACAGCAACGCTTCGGTGGCTTGACTGACTAACCAGCCTCCCAAACCCAACAACCCATTCATTTTGGTTTCCGGCAACATCAATGCGGACAGTAGGGTTTCAACCTTACAGTTGTCGAACAAGAGTGAACGCTGAGCAATGGAACATTGTCAAAATGGGAAGAATCAACATCGGGTCCAACGTCCGAGTTGCAATAGGCCAAAAGAACTTGATAGCACCATGGCTGAAGCCAACTTCTGAAAGTGGGATGTGACCTACAGTCAAAAAAATGTAGAAAATCCACAAGGCTTGTGAATAGCAGGTTTGCATACCCACTAAATCACTAAACCCATGTCTTGAAGGTTTTCTGGGCTGTTCATGTGAAGCTGCACCTCTTTCACAGGTATCTGTGCAGGTCGATGTGGGGCCTTGCTGGCACGGGTTGCGGCAACGGATGGCAATGTCCGTCTTCCTCCCGTGTGTTTCCTTGAGCGACCAACAGGGCCTTGCCAGTCCAGGAAAAAAACATCATAGTTGTTTGATGTTTTTTGTATTTATATTAATTATGACACTATTAAGTAAAAACTTGATAGAACCCACGGACCCGAATGCACGCACGTACACAAACGGCCAAGCGTTGATTGACACTCTTGCTTGACACCTTCACAGACAAACATTCTCGGGTGACAATCTTCTATAACACTCTAGTAAGACACGTTTGTGCAACATGTTTTGGCTTGACATTCTCGCGCAATACTTTTATAGAACACTCTTCTGGGGGGCCCTTTCATGCAGTTTTGGTTCGGACATGATCTGTGTTTATTGGTTCTGTAGCACTTGGAAAACCCTAAGTTGGCCTTGTTGGCCACATCACGCTCTGAACAAACTGCGCGAGCTTGCGCGGCAGGTAGGGGGGTCCCAATTCATACCATATCAACCTGATGTTTTTGATATTGCAGTTTGTTGCATCCAATAAGTAAAAAAAACATAATCCGTATCAATAGCGCTTTTCCGGAATCTTGATGCGAATCAAAGAGCCGAATGCTCAGGGTTTTTTCCGAACCGGTTCCGAACGGGTTCCGAACGGTTCACCGGGTCAACTCGCGACACCGGTCACGGTGGGAAGAGCTTCAAGAAGATGCACGGTTAAGCGACATGAAGACATTCATCATTAAGAAGAAGCTATGAACGGAGCAAAAGGACGCTACTAGGGCTTGGGGCTCCTGGCCGTACTACTAGGAGTGATCGGACGCTACCAACGGGGCTCCAGGTTGAGCCTTGCCCCATCCAACTTCCTGCACGCTTTGGGAAAGGAGCCACTGCGGTCAGGGCCACTTGGCGCTCCATGGGTCAGGGCCGGTGACCAAAA